CAAAAGAAAATCTTTACATTAAAATTTATGGACTATACAACAACTTTAATACACACTCAAACTCTCCACACTCTGTAATTAACTAAAGGTACAATAAGTTAGAAATGACTAGACCATTGAACAGAATAATACAAAACAAAAGAACAGGACAAATCCTTAAATTGGTTAAGTGATAATTGGTGAAAACACTAATTCACAAAAAAACAAAACATTATCCTAAAAGTTTGCTTAGAAGAATGTTTTGAGGGATATACTTAAGTATCTTTACCAAATAAAAAATGTAATACTTAATTGATATGAAATACATCTTTGTACTGCTGGCTGAGGAGAAATGTTTCAAATGAACTCCCATTCAATCAAAAAATGGAAAACTGTTGGGCCTCAGAACATGCTCAGAAATAGTTGCACATCCATATTTTGAAATCAACACATGGCAGTTTTAGTTTTGAGTCTAAGTGACAATCTTTGAGCACAAAGCTATACAAAAATGCATTAAAGGAATGTCAAAGTTAATTTGAATGTAAAACATTATTTTATTCACCATAAACCATAAGGAAGGCAGCTGTAGATATTAGGATGTTTTTGTTTTAATACTATTTTTGAGAAACAAACAAATTGCACAGTGACTTTTTGCTATGTTTGAGACTTTCCGTAGTGTCAGCATAATGAAGGTATGAGGACGGATGGGAGACACTATTTTACGAGAAGAAAGATGAAACAGCTCGAAACCAGTCACCTAATTATGTGACGAAATGATACTAAAATTTTGAATGTTTTCCACTTGTAGATAAGGAAGATTTTCATATGCTGCAGGACTAGCATTTTTCAAATAATTATTATAGTGTCTCATTTGGAATACCTATTAATCGTTTTCATCCATGACAGATTTTAAAGTGTCTTCATATTCATCTTCATCAAGGAAATCATCATCCTCATCATTGCTCTCAACACTTCTGCGTCGTCTTCTCGACAAGTAAGGGTTCACTGCTTCTATACACAAAATTGCAAATCTATGATTACAAGAAAAACGTTCTTGAGCTAGAAGTTTTCCTCTTAGAAGGGAAGATGCGAGTCCAAATTTGTCAGCACTGTCTGATTGCCATGAGTCACAATAAGCATCCATTGCTCGCTCACCTAACATGTGGGCACCATGCCATATAACTTTTTCAGGCCTAAAACAAACAGACAAACAAACAAAATAACAAATGCTACCCTTTAATTTAAAAAGGACAAAACTAACAAGGCTACTAACCAAGCAAAATCATTCAAAATATCTCTTCCGTTAAAGCTGTAAATCTTATGCTGTTGAGACAAGAACCCTCCTTTACCAGCAAAAAGTTCCTTCCATGATTTAAAAAGAACATCACCCTGTAGACACATTTTCAAAGTTTAAAAGAAGAACTGACAAGGTATAATAACAAACATTTCACACACAAGCATGCAAACAATGAACACAACTTACCCTTGTATTGATAACAGGCAAGTTTCTGTCTGCAGGCCGAACAATTGAGTCAAGATCTTGTACCCGAGATGATATAAATGCTCTAAAGGTTCCTCGCATGTTAGCTCTGTGAGCTTGTCTGTGGCAAGCACGATCTGCACCACTTACTCCATGCATATCTCCGGAATAGGGCTCATTCAGGGCGGCCATTCGGAGCTAGAACAAAAAAAGTTTTTTTTTTCTTTTTCTAAATCACAAGCCATGAAATTAGAGTCCTGTTTATCATATTTCACACATTAGAAGTGCGTTAGATGGAATGTGATTTGACAAACAATGACTTACCATTGTAGGAAACTAATGAGAGCATGAACAAAGATGTAAAAACTTGTGAGCTTTGATACTGAAGAATTTGCAGAACAGAATAAAAAATAAAACCACATGCACTTACAGCAGGTTGATCAGCAGCCATGTAGAAGGTGTTGACAAGCAGGTTGGAAGATTCCAGTGGGGGAGGCCTTACATGAGGGTGGAAAGTAGTTGGTGGAGGTGGAGTGGTCACATCTAAAATAGATCCCAACTGCAACGCAAAGAAAGGAAGCATTTTCTCATGTTTCAGAAAACAATATAAGAAGGTAACCAAATATTATAATGGGGTAAAACTCACAGCAACATACTGCCATCCTTTGTTGACTCTCACTAAAAGAGCTTCTTCATCAATTATGTATGCAAGCGTACCCACAGCTGTTTCCGCTGATCTCTGTAAAAGATAATTTTAAATTGGAAATCGCAATCACTTAACAATGTGGTGTGATGTGCCATTTTTCAGAAGAATTACAAACTTACACTTGTCATAGCCTCTTTATTTTGGTAAGTTACAGCACCCGGTACAATCCTTGTCGTTTTTTCTTGAACAGGTGGGGAAGAAGAGCCATGTCCTAATGAGTCTCGATTCCTCATGGCCTTATTCAGTCCTTCAATTCCTCCTCCTGAGCCTAAAGGTATGTAGGAGAGTTAATTAAACATCGAATGCCAGTCAGATATGGGGAGAGAAGATTGTATTCTCACCAGGTCTAGGATGTAACTGCTCGCCACCAAAAACATGACCACGAGATTCTGTCTAAATGAATTTAAAGCAACAAAAATGATCAGATAAAAATTGTTTTTTGGAGAGAAGATAACAAAAATTAAAAATATCCACCACAAAGAAGAAACTTACAACACCTGGTGGGCCAGGCGGGCCAGGCGGGCCAGGAACAGGCACATATTTAACTTCTGATGGAGGTCCTGGAGGACCTGGAGGCCCTGGTCTACCCTCTGGTCCAGGAGGACCCATTGGCCCTGGAAGTCCGGGTTCCCCACGATGCTGTTGGATAAAAACATATCTTTTTGTATTTTGCAAACAAATCTATGAACAAGTTAAACTAAAACACATGGCAATGTTTACAAATCTTTAAAAATCAAAATAAAGTATTAAAAACGTAAAACAAGAAGGAAACAGCTCCAGTAAATGATCTGTCCTCCGTTTCTATACCCGAAGCAGGTTGGTAATCTCTCCAGGCTCCCCCTTTTCCCCTTTAGGACCTTGAAATCCTAGTCCCGGCATTCCCACAGGACCCGGCCGTCCAGGCAACCCCTGAGGAAAAAGCACACAGGGGCCCCCTCTCCATTAAAACAAGTATAACTGAGTCGTTTCTTACCTTGCCTCCTCCCTTAAAGAGCAGCAATTAAAACAAAAGAAAGGCAAATTCAAACACAGATAAAGAAATAATTAATGTATTCTTTAAATACACATTTTTTTACACGTTGCTAAAGATGCTATGTATGGCATGTAGGAGTTGACTAACCTGCCATCCAGGAAGTCCCATATCACCCGACGCACCGTCCTTGCCGGGAACGCCCGGAGGACCTGGTCTTCCCCGCCGGCCTCGCTTCCCGCCGTCGCCCTTCTCGCCCTATGCAGCAGAGTGAAGCGACACGTCAGACAGGCAGGGTGCGCGCGCCAAACACGGCCGAGACTCGTGTCCGAGAGCGCCAGACTCACCTTGACGACCACGACCTCGCCGTCGACCGAGGTGACGGCACCCGGCGGCCCCCGCTCGCCACGCTCGCCCTTGAGGCCCGGTGGGCCCACCGGCCCGGGGACGCCCGCCTCGCCCTTCTCGCCCGCCGGCCCCTAGAACACAGTCAGACAGTGAGGTGACGTGAAGGACAACGGCAGGGGTCAGGACGACGCCGTACTCTGGGTGGCGGTGGCACTCACCTGCACGCCGTTGATGCCGGGTATGCCCGAAAGCCCACGGTCTCCGCTGTCACCTTTCTCCCCCTTGACGCCCGGCTCACCACGCTCTCCCTGAGGCCCGGGCAGGGAGGACGCTTCTCCTGCAACGGAAGAGGAGGGCGGGGGTGGGGTCAGCGACGGTCAGCGATCACTATCGACCACCGACGACGACGACTTCAACCGCGGACGCGTCGCGAAACTTACCGAGCAGGGAAGGCCCGCCGCCAAGGAACTTGGCCTCCTCTGGGTTGTAAACGGCCACCCCTGGTGGTCCCGGGGGCCCCGGGCTGCCGACCGCACCTGGGTCGCCCTTGTCACCCTTGGACCCCGGGCGGCCGTTGTCGCCGGGTACGCCGGGCTGGCCATCGATGCCCGGAGAGCCGGGCTCGCCCTTAAAGCCCTGAGCGCCCTGCGGCCCCTGGTGGCCGCGGTCGCCCTTGGCGCCGCGCGCGCCCAGCTCGCCCCGCTCGCCCTTGGGGCCCTGCACGCCGCGCTCGCCCTTGAAGCCGGGGCTGCCCGACGACCCGGGCTCGCCCTTGGGCCCCGGGCTGCCGGGCCGGCCGATGGAGGAGCCGTAGCCGGTGCCGAGCACCGAGTCCTGAGGGACACGCAAGCACAGTCGTCAGGCTCTGGGCGCCCGAGGGGTAGGCAACACACCCGACAGCTCCGCTCGGCGGGCGGAGGACAGCATACCTTGAGCACCGAGCGGGAGTTCCAGCTCGGCTGACCGAGGCAGCATTACAGAGAAGAAGTGTTAGTGGAAAAGAAGAAGAACGGAGAGAAGTAGGGTTAAGTGATGCTCTAGGCTGAGCACAAGAACGCAGAGAGTTAGTCGCAAAGGTGTTGGCGCCAGCTGGCCGCCGTACTCACGTCGTATCCGCCGTTGGGCTCGGACGTGCCGGGTGGCCCGGGAGGTCCCGGAGCGCCCGGGGTGCCCGGCGTGCCGTCGCGGCCCGGGTCGCCCTTCTGGCCCTGGATGCCCTCCGGCCCGGTCGCGCCGATGTCCCCGCGGTCGCCCTTCTCGCCCCGCGACCCGGGCGCGCCTCTCTCACCGGGAGGCCCCGGCAGGCCCTGTGAACAAAGAAACCGTCAGTGTAAAAGAATCAAGGCGAGACCAAAATATCAATACGCAGCGAAAGATATGGTTTTGAGGCAGCGTACCGAGACTCCAGGAATCCCTGCCGCCCCGTCGATGCCAGGCTGCCCTGGAGGGCCCGGTATCATCTCCAGGTTCATGGAGCCCAGGATGGAGGTGAGGTTGCAGGAGCACGTCCCCGGCGGCCCCTGTAAACCCGGGGAACCGGCGCCGAACATCTGCGGGAGGAAAAGGACTCGGGTAAACAGATATAGGCGTCCGAGTGGCACCGCCACTATTTGTCACACTGCGACGACTCGCACGCGCACGACCCGACTGTAAGTACCTGGTTCGGCCTGCCGTACGCACGCTAGCGGCACAAGCGAACACAAACACCGTTAAGTTACGGCACAGTTTTAATTACAATTATAGTTGTCGTCATTGTGTTGTGACACTCACCCCTTCATCCGGGAACGCGTCGCCCTTGCCGTAGAAGGCGCCCGGGGGCCCGGGCGGGCCCGGCGGGCCAGGGGGGCCCCTGATGGACTCTCCAGGCGGACCCCGCAGGCCGCGGTCACCCTTGTCGCCCTTGAGGCTGCGCATCCCGAAGTCTACACGGACGGACACATGTTAAATGATTGTGTTTATTTTTTATTTTTTTTTTTGTTTACCGTGAACCCCTTGTCCGTCCCGACAGAGGCAGTGAGCTGCACCACGCCCCGGCAGCAGCCCGGCCACTGCATTCGCTTGCAGGGCTGCAAGGTCCTCTTGGACCTTCTGCGCACGGCGCGCATTTCCACGAGGAGCGCGCCCAACCCGGAGGTCACGATGCTGCTGAGGAGGTCCTTCTGCGGCTTCGAGGGATACTCCGTTAAGGTGAGCGTGTTATGTGTTCATGCGAGGGGCTAAGGCTAACCCGATAGACCACAGCCTGTGTTAATCCGAGGCGTTTCCCCTTCGTGTCCATGGCGTGGGGTCGCAGAACACTTCCAAACGCACGACGTGTTGAACGTGTCGCAGGTGTGCTGCCCTGACCCTGGCGCCACGCAGCCCCCCGCGGAAAGCGAGGAGCCGGCCCTGGTCAAGCCGCTGTCCGGGCCCAACCGCCGGCCCACCGCGCGCCCCACCGGCCGGCCCGCGGCGGCCGGCGGCAACGTCGACTTCATGCTGCCCGCCAGCCCGCAGCCCACCGACGCGCCCTACGAGTTCCCCGCGGCGACGGACTCCCGCCCGGCAGCAGCTGGTGGAAGTGGAGGCAATGGAGGCTACGTCGGATCCCCGTCGACGTCGTTCGCGCCATCCTTCGGCTCCGGGGCCTCCGCCGCTGCGCCTTCCGCCTCGTCCGGCTCCACTCCCTCTGCGTCCACAACGTACCCACAGCCGGTAAGCACCTCGCACCTCCACACCGGAGCCCCTATATTCAGCATTGCTACTGTGACACTGCTGCACGCTCCTCGCGGCAGGACCCCTCCATGGGCGAAGACCTCGCCCTGTCACTGGGCGAGCCCGCGCCCTCGCCGCCCGACTATCCTGTGGAGAACCTGGCGCTGCTGCCCACCGAGGTGTGCGGGCTAAGCATGCACCGCGAGCAGCACGCCGACAGAATGGTCACCAACCGGACGGGGATCATGCGCTACCCGTGGATGGTGCGCCTGGCCTACAAGAAGGGTAAGCCCCCCCCCCCCAACCT